CACAAGGTCTCAATACAAACATCAAGGTAATGGATAAGGCATAATCACTAAACAGTTACATCAGCATAATCAGCACGCATATCAATCAACTAAGCTCTGGCCTCCTACCGCTAGAGGTCTCAACTCCTGGGTTACCTAAACCTGAAATATATGCCCCAAACGTGGGGTGAGATCGCTAAACAGAAATTTCAGTAAGGCAAGGGGTCCTCAAGGATTTCTCCACCCCAAGCTCCCTTACATGTGCAATATAAGTTCTAAAAGCAATATACAATATCAGTTCCAAAATCAGTGCAAAGCAACAGATAATCATGTCATGTGTGTCAAGATATTCTACTGGCCAGAGAAATGCAGGATTTATATACGTCTATTACCCACATTTAGTACAAGATGCCACTTGCACCCACCCACAGGATCACCATATTGTATGACGCCACATACTCAGGCTTACTGTCTAGATGGAACAACACATGCATATTATAAGGCCCTTACACTTAACAGCTCAGAAGCATTTCAATCATCAAAACATGAAAACACACCATGCATAAAACCATTCCCCCATGGGGCATGGTGGAACCAACAATGGCTAAACCGAGGACACGAAAACTTACCTCGCAAGCTAACTATCCAAGCCAAGCTCACACTAGCTCAATGCCCACAAACAACACAATCGCAATCTGTTTATACAATAATTAATCATCAATAATCATTGCACAAGATTTCATTAAGTGATTAAGGCTTTCCAACTCATTTTAAGTCATTTCATGCAAATTCTGCAGGAGGTATTCGAATACTCCACGATGAGTATTCGAATACTCCCTGTCTCCAGAAAGTATCCGAATACTTTCTCTTAAGTATTCGAATACCACAAGGTATCCGAATACTTTTCCCCTAGTATCCGAATACCACCAGGTATCCGAATACAAATACCACAGTATTCGTATACTACCCAGTATCCGAATACTTATTCAATGGTATCCGAATACTTTTCTTCCTAGAAAAGTATCCCAATACTCCTGCAAGGAGTATTCGACTACCAAGGGATAAGTATTCAAATACTTCACGAAAAGTATTCGAATACTCATCAGACATAATGCAGAAACTCGAACTGCCCTTTGCATAATTCCATTTTTAAGGGTCTAAACGTGATTTGGAGTCCAATGACTCCATAAATAGATGTTCATTAACATGTTATAGACTCAGAAACACAGTCCTTAGCTCAAATGATTCAAGTTTTACTTTTTAAAGGATTAAACAAGCTTAAATCATCAAAATGACAAAGAGGTGATCATGGTAAACCTCAATGCTCCAAACTCAGAAAATGAGACAGAATGGGAGTCCTCTACACAACACTATGGTTCAGCCACTCCCCAAATACGAAAATGTGCTTCAAGCTTTGCCCTTTAGCACTAAAAATGGCTTCTTGAAGCCTAAACTGCCATGACAATGGTTTCACTCAACCAAAGTCAGAACACAACCCCCTTAAGCCTCTCAAACTCAGAAACTAGCTCAGAAATGGAGCACCTTTCGCCCCTCAAAGGCTTAGGCACACTCACACAAGGAGTCTTTGTGAAGAACTCACGAGGAATGGTGGCCTCAAAAGGCTTCAAAGGAGAGGGAAGGTGGAGACAAGGTGGCAAGGTGGCTGCTCAAATTTTGAAACTCACGTAGAGAAGGAAGGGTATCAGCCTAGAGTTAAGTGCCCAAGGCTATTTATAGTCCTATTAATTAAATCACATTGTATTAGTGCAAATAGCTACGCTTATCGTTTTAATCTCAAACTTGAGATTTTGAACCTACTCATTTTTCTAAGATTTTTCATATTTTTATTTTATTTTTTGCAGCAACTTTTCGGTACGCGCTTTTACAAAGCCAGTATCAATTCTGGCACCAGTTCTCATTATTTTGACTTGAAACTTGTTTTGCTAGTCATATATATTATTCTAGGAATATTCCCACACTTATTATAATTTCTCGGGATACTTCATCGGTACACATGTATACCGTGAAGCAGAACCGGTATCTGCACTTTTCGTCAGAAAAGCGACTTTCAACATTATTAATCACTTACCATAATTATTTAAGCCTTCTCATAATTATTAGGGTCAATTATGGAATTATCTCATTAAAATCATAATTATTTAATTAAATCCCTAATTTAACGGTGCAGGTTCTTACTGAAAACATATATAGCTGATATTAAATGCTGACTGTTAGAGGTGGCAAACTGGCCTCGTCCCGGAGGGCCGGCCCGCCCCACCCAGCAACACGTTTTCATATAAAAAACAAAATTATTGTTGGTATAGATGAAGTATTATTGAGATTAAATATATGATTGTATATATATATATATATTCTAATTTTATTAATAATTCTTTTTTATTTATGCAAATCAGCTCATAACATAACTTCAACTATGAAATGTACCAACTCGAATATTTTTCAACTTTTCATCTAATATATATCATAACTACAGAAAACATAGATACATAGCAATCTAGACGCAGGTATAAGAACTTTTTTGTGTGGATAAGTATGAAAACCTAATACATGCTGATATAAAATATTAACAGTTAGAGGTGGCAGAATGGGCCGAGCCCACCTCGCCCACTTTTTCTTATTCTTAACCAAATTGATGGTTGTAGAGCTGAAGTATTATTGAGATTAAATACAATGCATTAAATATATGGTTATATATATATATATTCTAATTTTATGAATAATAATTTTTTATTTATGCAATTAAGCTAATAAATGGTCTTTTGATATTACCACAAAACTTCAACTGTGAAATGTTTGTTAGACTATTAAACGTACTAACTCAAATATTTGTCAACTCTTCGTTTAATATATATGTCACAAATACACACACCTCAGGAAATCGCTATAAAGGCAAATATAGAAAATATATATAGATAGTAATTTAGACGCAACTATAAGAATCTTTTTTTATGAATAAATATGGAAAACATATATAGCTGATATAAAATGCTGACAGTTAGAGATGGAAAAATGGGCTCGGCTCTGAGAGCCGGCCCACTCCACTCGGCAACACGTTTTCATATTTTTAACCAAATTATTGTTGGTAGAGTTGAAGTATTATTGAGATTAAATACAATGCGTTAAATATATGGTTATATATATTCTAATTTTGTGAACAATTACTTTTGTTTATGCAATTCAGTTAATAAATGGTCTTTTGATATTATCACATAACCTCGACTATGAAATGTTTGTTAGACTATTAAACGTACTAACTCAAACATTTTTCAACTCTTCATCTAATATATGTCAGGTATTTCTCAAGTAACAGGTTTACATTTTTGTTTTTTGTTCCTGCGTGTTTATACCTCCACCATTGTACCATTCAGAGCTTCATAGCAAGATGAAGGTGTTGATTTACCCGTGCAATGATTAACCAACGATGGTCGACAACAATTTTGTTGTTTTTCTGCCAGCGAATTTATTACTGGTTATATTTAGAAAGGTGGCGTCTCATTCCATCGAAGATATATCCAACATCAAACTTACTTGCAAAGAATTTCTTCGGCTTGCAGAAAATGATTACGTGTATGAAAATGCTTCGATGGACAAGTTTGAATCAGGTCCATTGGAATGGATTACCAATAAAAAAAATTATTCATCAAATACCGGATAACTGTGAGCATGAAAATCGACCAGTGTACTAAGGAAAAGTGTATGAGATTTTCTTCAATCAATAGCAAAAGTTCAATAGAGAATGACAATTATTTTTCTTAAAACATTGCAAGGAAAGTGGCAACCCTGACATTTTGTACCGTAAAGGATTGGTTAGTTATTTCAAACAAATTTCCAGTTCGAAGACGCAAGCGTTGGCTCTTGAAGCCTTGAAGATTGCAGCACTGAAAGGTCATAGTGAGCAAGCATGTTTATTGCATGCTATTGATGAATGGTGAAGATCAAAAACAAAGAAATTTTGGATTTGAAATTTTTCGATCCCTGAATAAGACAAACAATTTACAACAATTTACGCAGCGGGTGAAATGTTTTATCCGAAGCTTGTGGGGGCGTAAAGAAATTGTTTGAAACCATAACTCACATTTCTGCCATTCCAACAAATGCAAAATGCAAAACATTTCAATTGAACGGTCCCATGGGAAAATTATGAAGTTAATGATGGTAATGGGATTACGTGTGATTTTTGCAAGGCAAATTTTGAAGTCATTTTTTTTTTTTGTAGAATTTCTGTAGTATAGACTAATTTAATTTCTTACATTGATAAGTTTTAAGTTCTTCTATTTGTATTCGTCCTTTTTATTTCGAACAATTGCCAATGAAAATTTAAAGTATTGCAGTATATCTTTTTCTGGTGTTTTTATGTACTTCTATGGTGTAGTTATATTTCTTTTGGGTAATTATCTAATTTGTTCCCAATTCAATGCATTTGTAGAACACATTTTTTATATCAAAATGAAAGGAACTTAAGAAATAAAGCAAAAGAGTTTTTATTATCTATATTATTTTTAAAATAAAGTTTTTATACAAAATGTGGATACTTCATTTTTGACTATGAAAGGATGAATACTTTGGGTGCGTTGTGATAAATATTTTTTTTTTTTGACTATAATGCTATACAATCGCTTCGTGATAGTAAAAATGGTACGTAACTATGTTTTTCCGGTTCAACAAGTTTTTTTTCGACAAACCGACCGATTTTTTTCCGGGTAATATACTATTTTATACTTCAAAAACAACTATTTTTGGGTCAATAGGCTTTGGCCTGAATGCCTACATATTACAGGAACAGATCTCGCTAAAAGATTGGTGTAAATTACAGACAACTTTTTATTGAAACAACTTTTATAAGATACAAAAGGCAATAGTGATTTACAGTTTCAGTTATGTACAACCTCATGGATATAGAAGCAAAAGGAGACCAACCAGAAGATGGGAACACAGATCACTGATGCAAAATCACATTACCGAAAATGTTGCACATTTCAGCAAGCAGTCAAATTATCATAGGCCTTCTCTCCAAAATGCTCAAGCTTCTGGAATGGGTGCTAGTAGTTCCTGAAAAAATTGAAGGACTTTAAGCACATAGTGCCTAAATCTGTAGTTACACAAAGTGATGCAGAGACTAAAAGTTACTACCTCAGGGAAGTGCAGATGCCCATGATGTACATGAGAAGGCTTAACAATTGTTTCCCACTTAGGATAAAGTGATGCTGTCTTGGCAGGTTGACTTAGTGCATAAATGTATGCAGCAAGGTTGGACCGTGAAGGCATGTTTCTTGAGGTAATGGTAGGTAAAGTACGCTTAAGCCAAGACTCTGATGGAGCTTTTAGTGAAGGAAGGGCAAGAGGAAGCTCAAAATAACTTGTATCAGATGTTTCTTGATGGTCTAACTTCATAATACATTGGCTTTCTAAGTCAATCTTCTCATCACCACCCACCTTTGAGCTACACAAAGTAGATTCTTGATGAATCAATTTGGCAGCTTGTTGGCTCTTTAAATCAGCTTCAGAATTTTTTTGACTGCTAGACACTTGACTTTCCAAATCTATCTTTTTACATTCAACCACTTTTGGACTTGAAATCACAACCAAATCCTGATCCAAGTCACATCCTCGGTTGCCAGGCTTTGTCAGTCCTTGCTTTTCTGAGTCTATTTTCTTGGAAAGATTTGTCATTTCCATTGGCATACCATTGCTACTCTCAAGTAAAGAATCTATAGAAGGAATATTATTAATGCCACTATCTCTTCTCAAAGACTCAAAACCGTCCCCTCTGTGATTGGTTTGAGACTTAACCTTATGTACAGAATCTACATATAGAGTTTTCTCAACAATAGGGCTTTCATAGCTCGCACAGGCTAATAGTTTGCTGCAACCTCTTCCATGTAGATCAGTGCTATGTTTAGATTTTTCATGAAAATCCAAAATCTCTTTTTCTTCTGTAAAGCCACACAGGGAATCTAATTTCTTTTTCCTATAATAAGGAGTTTTAGCATGCTACAAAATAAAGATAACAACACCTGAAGTGAAACAATAACAAAAAATGAAAGAAAAGTAGACAGAGAAAAGTTATTACCTCTTTTGTAGTTTTAATGCGAGAAGCATTTGAATTACCCTGCATTCCATGAACTGCAGAACTTTGAACCTTATCCTCCATTCTTGATCCTGGTATTGTATTCAAAAGACAGAACCGAGGAAATAGGCCACAAGCTGTAGGTGTGTAGTTTTCAGATCCACTACAATCATCACTTTCATTTTTGCTTCCTTCCCTACCAATATCTTGGGTGTAATGTGGCAAGGCTTTTGGCCTATGCTGATTAAGGGGACGAGACCTTTCTATACTAACAACTTTCTTTAGCTGTTTTTGTTGTTCTTGTCCAACAAGTGGCTTCTTTGAAGCATATTGAGGTGGTTCAGATGTCATTGCCTTTGCTGCAGGCAAGAATCGGTCAATCATGAAATCGCGAGCTTGTTGATCACTTGAGAAACTTCCAGATGGTTGGACCTCTTGATCATCCCATCCACTCAAAACACTCACAGTAGAGCTCATGAGGAATGATTCAGTCCTAGAAAGTGTATCAAGAGCATCTAGATAGACCTCATCACCATCATCTGAATCAGAACTTTTCTTCTCCTGAATTTCCTCCTTTGAGCTTTCATGCTTTGTTACTTTTTTATCCAATGATGCAACACTTTTAGAATTGGAAACAGTGCTTCCAGTTCTCATCTCAGTAACTGATGCACCTTTTGAAACTATATCAGAATCTTGTTGCTTAGTTTTTGAAACCCTCCCAGGTGGAGGGTTTGGAGTCATTGGAGGCTGCTCAACAGCCTGTGTCTGTAATTTGCTTTCATCCTTGGGTCTTCCTGGTGTCTTCTCCCATATAAAAGGAACATTTCCAGCATTCCTCACTGGACCTGACTTTAACTCTGATTTGTAAGAAGGAAATCTGGCTAATGAATTACCAGTTTTCCTTTTGTGATCTGTTTCAGAGGTCACTTTTGATGAGAACCGCCTTACTGATAAAAGTGGCTGATTCAAGTTTAACTGCTTTTCTTCCATTATGTCTCTGACTATCATGGAATTAGTTTCTGTAAAACACCCAAACCAAATCAAATTGAAACTCAAACTGGGCATTCTCAGCAACATGATGAAGAACAATAAACTGACATTACTTCATATGCCAGTTCTGAACATCTTGCATTGAAACATGGAATTGAATTAATGAAAGAAAGTAATCAAGGAAAAATTTATATCAAACTTCTGGAATAGAACCACAGAGAACAAAATTAACTAGACATAATTCTGCATTCCTATTTGACAATTGATGATAAAAGAAAATTGCAATAAGTGGAGTTGAAAATTGAAAGAAAAACAATGCAGCAGAGGCCCAAAACACCGGTTAATCGATGGTAAGCAATAGAAAATTGGATTTATATGGTACAACTTTAGCATTATGCATTTAAAAGAAAAACATGCACCAGTCATTCAAAGAATTGGTAATAAGGATAAGTGAAAAAAAATTGTCCCAGCAAAAAAAAAGCTTAAAATAACTTCAAGATTTTTAATCTGCAGGATCCTACTTTCGTCTTGCATGACAATCAAATCAAACCAGACAATCAAAGAGATGCAAAATATTCAGTTTTTTCAGTTAGAGCTAAGAGCATAATTCACTAAAAGCACTTCATTCAACAAGATCAGGGACCAAGAAACATATTTTTCTTTTTTTATGTTTTCTGAACAAAGACTCAAACACTGTACCATTCATCCCCATTTACCAAAACCAAGAAACACCAACAAAGGCACACGAATGCAGAGAGAATGAGTTCAGGAAAAGAACCTTAGAAAAATGACTCGACCCAGGAATCAACTCACTTTCTTCCTAATGAAAGGTAGTGAATAAAGACCTCCAAAGCACCCTGAAAGTACATAGAAGCAGACGCTCAAATATTTCGTGTCATGCACAAGAACATCAGAGAAAGAAGACAAAGAAAGAAAGGAATTGGTTTTGAGAATGAACTATTTTGTACGCTTGTGTTTTTTATTTATTGCTTGGTTGTTGAGGTGAGTAACTCTTCTCTTCTTTTATTTCTTTATTGTAGCATCGAAATTTTTGTATGAAAAAAATAAAATAAAATGTACGTACATTTTTATTGTTCCGGTTTTAGGCGATTTCCGAAGTACTAATCGGATGGGTGTAAAATACAAAATTTCTATATTTTGCAAAATAATATAATAAGACGTATATAGAATGGGTTTTATAAGAGTTATGTTGTAGGAAAAGTGATTGTGTAATATTTTAGAGATTTCTTTTGCGTGTCATAGTTTTTTTTTTTTTTAAATGTGGGTCCCACAAAATATTGCGTGTATAAAAAATTTTATTGTGTCATGTTAAATCACAAATGCAAACTCCATGTAAAATTGTATATGTTTAAATCGCATATGAGGAAACTGTAGCACTTATGAATTAAGGTGCACTTGCCACGTGACATGCGCTTACAAGTTACACATGGGACGACATTCACATTTAAATCGTGACAATCAGAGGTGACAATACGGGTTGAGTCTGGGGTCAATTTGTCAACCCACCAAATCGGAACGGGTTGAGTTAAGGTTTTCAACCCACCAACCAATTTCAACCCGCCCTGCCTAGAAGTAGGTCAAAACGGGTTCAACTCGTCGAGTTATAATATTTTTTTTTACAATTAGGTAGTATTTTATTTGTCATTAAATTGTGTGATATTCAATTTTTTTTTTATCTTAATACTTTCTAGAAAAAATAAAGAATAACGATTTTATTTATGACTAATATTATCTATATATGGAGACAAATGAATTCCTAAAGAATGTTTGACAAATATTAGTATATATTTAAGATTGAGACTAAAAAATTAAGAGAAGTATGAAATAAAATAAAATAATATTAGAAAAATTCATTGGCGGGTTAGTGGGTTGATCCACTAACCCACCATAAAATATGATGGATTCAATTTTTAATCCATATTTAATGACGAGCCAACCCGTCCCACTCCGTTTTTGACGAGTTGGGGCTGGCCAACCCAAATTACCATGCTAGTGACAATATGCGTCATGTGGCAGCAGCTGTACATAAATACCCAATTTGAATGTGTAGACACCTAAGCATCTTATTATATTAATTCCCATGAAATTTTTATATTTTGAATAATTCTGTAAAAAAATTTATTTATTATAATAAATGAAGGGAAAGGTGTTTGTGCTTATTTCCCATAAATGAATCAAAAGCATGAGGTTAAGTTACACTTGTGGTCACATTTACATTATAGTTGTTTGTTGCAGTGACCGATAAAAAACTTACGAAGCACGACGCTTTAAAATTTTTGACGTGTTGTGTTTGATATTTACCGACACTTAGATATTTTCTGACACTCCAATACTAGTTGCAAAGGATCAAAAAAAATTCAAAGGTTACGTTGCGTTGCATTTTGAGTTTTAACTATTAGATTCATTGGATTATGATTATTATTTTATTGAGTTCAAAATAAATATTTGGAATATCTTATAGGGTAAAGGATTTCTCCAGTCACCGGAGATAAAGTTATCTCGAATGAGCTCAAAACGATGTCGTTTTTTGACAGAAATCAATGTGTTTTTGTAATTATAATATATTGCAGGGTTATATTAGTCTTTATCATTATAATTTTTTAATCTTATAACTCAAAACGACATCGTTTTGAGCTCACGAGAGATAACTTTATCTCTGGTGACCGGAGAAATACTTTTTCCTATCTTATATTTCTTTGCAAAATTGATGGGTATTATAAGTTTAGCTTTATTATTTTGGTAAATTATTGAATATTAAATATAATATACAGTACATAAATTAAAAATATTATATAATATCAAAATATGTCCTACGTATCAAAATTTAATATTTTTTAGAATTAATGTGTCGGAGTGTCGTATCATGTCGTATTCCATATCTCGTGTCGATGTCGGTGCAACATCGTAAAAAACACTATTGTTCATCGAGAATTTTGACCATTTATTTAAGAAGAGGGATATTCTCACTACTAAAATTTTTTACTACCAACTTATTACCTATCTAATCACTATTAGATTAACATTTTCTCTCTCTTCAAATTTTTTTTAACATTCTCTCTTTGATCCAATGATGATATGATAAGTAATAAATTAGTAGTAAAAATTTTTAATAGTTAAAATATCCTTACTCTTTATTTATTAGGGCACACATATGTATGTGATCAGGTGATAGTGAAGGTGCAAAAAGTCAATGCTCGGTGATGACCATGACTGATAAATATGAATACAATGAATTGAAACGGACAAAAAAGCCAACCCGGATTTTTTTATGGAAAAAAGAATTTTTTTTTAAACGATGTAAGTCTGTATCCTTTTAAGCAATTTATATAAATTCTGACCAATCAGACTGATATAAGTTGCTAAAAGAATACAACTTATATTATTTTAAATAACATCCGCTGAATCCTTTATTCATATATTTTCCTTCTTCTTCTCCTTTCTCTTTCCTTCATTTCGTTCTTCTGTTTAATTTCTTACAACTAAAATTAGGAATATACTAAATCAAAACCTGTGGAATAACTTTTTGTTACGCAATTGATAAGAAAGGAAAAGAAACGGACGCACAAAGCAAATAACATATGCTAAAAGTAAGATTATTTCATCTATTTATTATATTTAAAATTTTACTAATTAAATTAATCAAGGCATGTTTGGATGAACTTTTGAAAAAATGACTTTTTATAAAAGTTAAAACTATTTTATATTTGGATGTAATATAAAAAATACTTTATTTAAATATATTATTTGAATATTTAAATTAAAAAGTCCTTTTTATCTATAAAATTACTAAAAGGATATGTAAAAATAAATCATGTGAGCAAATTTGGATGTTTGGAGGGGAGATGGTGGCGGTGACAGCGACGACGGTGGTATAGGTGGTGGCGGGCTGGTAGTGAGGAGAATGAAGGTGATAGTAGCAAAGACAATGCCGTGGTAATAATGATATTGATGGTGGAAGTGGTGGCAACAATGATTATGATATAGGTGGTAGCGGAGTGATAGTGATGGTAATGCTAACAATGATGACATGATGATAGTAATGGTAATGGCGATGATAATAATGGAGGTGGTGGCGGTGGAGGTGCTGGTGAGAGTGGCATGGAAAGAAATGAGATTAAGATAAATTTGAATTTTTAAAAAAATATCTGACTTTTTTGACTTTTGCCTTTTTAAGAAACTGGATAATTTAAGTTTAATAAAAAGTTAGGTTTTTGCCTTTTTTCTATAATTTTTTATTTTTCTTAAAGCAAGGAGAATGACTTTTTTCTTTTAAAAAAATAACTTTTGGAAAGAAAGAAAAAATCTCACCCAAAACCGCCTCTAATACTTTTAAAATTGTATCACCTTGTAGGCTTGTACTCCAATGCACAGTACGTATTTAAGCATTGTTTATTGTAATTTGAATAACAATCCATAAATTAAAAATGGATGTTGGTTCAAATACTTAATACAATCCACAATTTCAAAATGTTAATTTGGTAATTGGAAAAGTGACAAATAATAAGTAAGAAAGATAAACAAATAAAATAGTAGTATAAAATAATTAATATATACTAGTATATAAAAGAAAATTTTCAATTTTTTTTTAAAATTTTCATTATTCATTACTAATTTAAATATTTAAAAATAAATATAAAAGTATATTTATAATTATCTTCAAGTAGTGTTTAATTTTAATATATAACCATAGTTCATTTAAAATATTTATAATTTTTAAAATTAAATAATGCATATTAATGTAAGAATAATTATAATTATGCTTCTCCCAGGATAATTGTCCGATCCTTTGCATACTCTGAACGGGAAGGAATAGATTCCTTCTGTACATGAAGTCGAACTGTCTAGTTACATTTACTAAAAATAATAAAAAGAACAAGGGGTAATAAGAGAATAACCGGAATATTTTCCATCATACATGTGCCTCAAGCTCTTACGTATAGGATAAAATTTTGGTACCCTGATATATTCGAGTGGGTATAACATTTTTTCATTTTTGAAAAAAATTTCAATACTTTTTAAATTTCTCTTTTCCACCACATTGTATTTTTTTCCAAAAATGACAAAATGTTGTATCCACTTAGATACAACAGTGATACCAAAAATTTATCCCTTCATATAATATAAACAGTTGGATTTCCCTTTCTACAGGTGTTATCGTATGTATATTGCACGTTTCCTTACTTGAGATGATATACGTGGCAGTTTCAAATATGAGCCGGAGTAGGGATGTTAACAGGTCGAGTTGAATCAGATTTTACTTTTAAAAGACTAAGTCTGTATTTATATATGTCAGTTTGACCTAGCTTGTTACCTGATATGAATATTAGTATCGGCCTATAACCTGACTTATTTACAAATGCTAAAAGTCTGGTTTAGCTTGTTTTAAAAAAAAATAGGACAACAAAACTGGCAAAAAAATTTAATTATTGTATTTTAATTAAATAATTATGCATTTATTGCAATTTTAGAAATAATTACGGATCTATTGCACAATGTGACGCCTCATTTAGGCGTCTCTCACCTAATGGAAGACGCCCCAATGGGACGTCTCTCACCTAAGGTTGACACGTGTCATTTTTTTCTAAAAAAAATAATAATTTAATCATAAAATTTCTGAAGGCCATAACTTTTGACTCGGGTATCCAATTCAGGAAATTCTTTTTTTATTCCACATAACTTTTCGAGATCTACGCAATGACATATCATTTAATATATTTTATTTCTCACAAACGTAATTTAAATTTAAATTAGGTAATCCTTCTTCCTTAGAGATTTAGAATATTTATTTAATTATTTTCTTTATTAATACAGATTTTTCAAATTGATTTTTGAGTTTAAATCACAAATCAAATCTTTATTTTGTTTTCCTTATTAATAATAATTGTTAATTTTAATTTAAATCATAAACCAAATTTTTTTATAATAAATTTAATTTATTAGTAATTAATTTAATTTATATAAGTGAAATCTAAACATATATTGATGCAGAGTTGGGGTTGCGTCTCTATTGAAGGGCAGTGGCAACTTTTGCATAAGAGGGCCCTTGTACCTACCGCAGTCACCCAGCTAAGCATTTTGGAATTTGAGTTAACAGTTACCTTTCTTTAACCATAATATCCCAACCAACCCTGCCCCTCCATCTTTCTCTATATCTATATCTTTCTTTCTCGCCTATCATATTTGTAACTTTCCTGATAATTAAGTTAGAGTTCCGTTACAACTTTAGTGCAAGGAGTTATAAATTCTATAGTCTTTAGAAAAATGACAGAGGAGCAACCCAAAAAGGTAGAGTCCGAATCCCCATCGGATCCTCCTGCACCTGATCAACATGAACCTGAACCTGAAGCCGTTGTTCATGCCGCTCCAAAGGATGATAGGCTTCAGGAGAAATCTGAAATTCCACAACCCTGATGGTACGGTGGAACGATACAAGGCAAGATTGGTGATAGCTGGAAATCATCAAATCGCTGGGGAGGATTATAGTGAGACATATGCACCGGTGGCCAAAATGGTGAGTGTTCGTACACTACTTGCCGTAGCAGCTGCCATGAATTGGGAGCTACACCAACTCGACGTCCACAATGCCTTCTTGAATGGAGACCTAAGTGAAGAAGTTTACATGTGGTTTCCTCCCGGATTCAGCAATGGCTCCAATCACAAAGTATGTCGTCTTACCAAATATCCTTGTATGGACTGAGGCAATCACCACGAAATTAGTTCTCCAAACTAAACTCTTCCTTGACACGTTATGGTTTTATACAATCAAGGGCAGATTATACCCTCTTTACTCTCCAAAGAGGGTATAATCTGCCCTAGCAGTGTCCTAGTTTACGTTGATGATATAATAGTGGCAGGGAATGATCCTAATGCATGTAAAGCAGTCAAGGAGTATCTGAACCAATGCTTTAAAATCAAAGACTCAGGTCCGCTGAAGTATTTCCTGGGTATCGAAATTGCTCGTAGCAAGGAAAGCATATTACGTAAGTATACTTTAGACCTCCTTTCTGAATCAGGTCTGAGTGGGAGTAAGCCTTCGAACTCTCCCATCGAACAGAATCTTTGCCTCGCCTTGGATGATGGCCCAGTTTTTGACAACCCTGAACGGTATCGAAGACTTATAGGTAAACTAATTTACCTCACCATCACTCGACCTGATTTGAGTTATGCCATCCATATTTTATCGCAGTTTATGCAACAACCCAAGCAAGCTCACTTTGAAGCTGTAGTCCGTGTACTTCGGTATATCAAAAGGGACCCTGGCCGAGGCTTACTTCTCAAGTCCGATTGTAACTTAAAGATTCATGCTCACTACGACTCGGATTGGGCATCTTGTCCTCTCACTCGCAAATCAATTACTGGTTTTTTTTTATTATGCTAGGATCATCACCAATCTCTTCGAAGACTAAGAAACAAGTAACGGTCTCCTGCTCTACGGCAAAAGCAGAATACAGATCCATGGCCGCAGCTACCTCGGAGTTAGTTTGGCTCAAATCGTTTCTTACCTCCCTCGATGTCACACATTCAGGTACTATGGAGTTATTTTGTGACAACCAAGCAGCCTTACACATAGCTGCCAACCCCATATTTCATGAACGGACGAAACACATTGAAATAGATTGCCACTTCGTGCGAGAGCATATTCTTGCCAACAACATTATCACTGCTCACGTCCGTTCGAGATCCCAACTTGCAGACCTGTTTACTAAAGCATTGCGACAACGTCCGTTCTTAGAATTCCTTCCCAAGTTAGGCATTTCATCCTTACATGCTCCAACTTGAAGAGGAGTGTTGGAGATTGTTAGGATATCAATATTTGATTATACTGTTAGATTGTTATTACACTGTTAGTTTGTTAGTCACAATAGCTGTACATGGCAGATTCTAATAGTTGTTGAGTTTATTTAGGAGTCTTTATTTAGGAGTCTGTTACTAGATAGTTTGTTTTTATTTTCTTATCGTTTATCTGTAACAAAACATGTATTTTATTTGCCTATTAAAAGGCTGCATACTTAAATAATAGCAACAAGTTGCATTACCAAGTTTATCTGACTGACTCTTCTGCATTTTTTTTTTTTTTTTTTGGGTCCATCATCTTTTCATCCAACTACTCTAACTTTTATTAAAGAGGTCTAGTAACTATAGTTCAAAATTTTTCTCTATCACTTAAAATGACATAATTTTACATTATTTTAAATGACACATAATTTTTCCTAATTATATTGAATATTTTCGGTGGAAGAAAATTATTATGTTGGATGATTAAGCAAGTGGACAAAGGACAATCAACGTCTTGAGACTTGAGAGGCCCAGAAAGTAAATGGAAGATGCAGAGGCAACAGTGACCAAAGTGTAACTGTTGCCAACAAAAATTACCACACTAGTAAATTTTGTCAAAATGCAACGTGGCATATTTTGCTACATTGTGTAGCGAAATATGTGTGCAAATAATTCGCTACACAATATAACGAAATATGTCACGTCAGAATGCACAGAACCAAAAATGCCACGTATCAAATATTCCTAATATATACTATATAATTACATTACACGCAACTCTTTTGTTGATCATCTTTTCGCTCATCTCTCTAGGAAAGGTATTTTTGCCTTTAAGGATGATAAACGGCTCGAGAAAGGAGAACCCATTTCATCACAGCTTTTACAAGCAATTCATGATTCACGGGTTTCTATCGTTGTCTTCTCCCCTGATTATGCTTCTTCAAAATGGTGTTTGGATGAAATGGCTTCTATAAATGCATGCCGTATAAATTTTGAACAAACTGTTTTCTCAATTTTCTATCATGTGGATCCATCTCATGTAAGACATCAGAATGGGGTTTATGAGGATGCCTTTCTTTTACACACTGAAAAATTCAAACAAGATCTATCCATGGTTAATCGATGGCGGGAAGCTATGGAGGATTTGGCAGGATTAGCTGGTTGGGATGTCAGGAATAAGTGAGTACTAAGGTCATTTTATTTTATTTTTAACATGAGTTTCTGGTTAACAACAAATTTATATCCATTAATATATATATAATATAATATAATATCCTAATATGAATTTCTTCCGTTTTTCTCCTTATTTTCTTAGGTGATAATTTAATGATTTTATTTTTTTCTCTCTTTTAGGCCAGAGTCTGAAGCTGTTGAAAATATTGCTCAGGAGATAATAAATATATTGGGTCATAAATTCTCAGGATTTTTTGATGAGGTTATTGGGATGCAACCTCATGTAGCAACATTAGAAAGCATTTTAGAACTAAGGACACCGGAGGATAAATTTCGAGTTTTGGGAATTTGGGGGATGAGTGGAATAGGAAAAACAACTCTTGCTAATGCTTTGTATGATAGAATCTCTTATCAGTTTGACGCTTGCTGTTTTATTGAGGATGTTAGCAAAATTTATAGAGATGGTGGTGCTGTTGCCGTGCAGAAACAAATTCTTCGTCAAACTCTAAAAGAAGATCTAGACAAATGCAGTCCTTCCGAAATATCAGCAAGCCTAAGAAATAGGCTACATAAGATAAAGGTCCTTGTAGTTCTTGACAATGTTGATGAATTCAAGCAATTGCAAGAATTAGCTATAAATCCTAAATTGCTTCGCGCAGGAAGTAGAATGATTGTAACCACTAGAGATGAGCATATTCTTAAAGTGTATGAAGCGAATAAAATTTATGAGGCTCAACTGATGAAAGATAATGACGCTCGTCAACTTTTATGCAGAAAAGCCTTCAAAAGTGATGATTCAAAGAGCAATAGCAATTATGATGAGTTGATCCCTATGGTACTAAAATATGCTGAAGGCCTTCCATTAGTAGTTGGTGTAGTGGGTACTTTCTTGTGTAAACGAGGTGTTCCCCAGTGGAAAGATACCTTGAATAGATTGAAGAATAGTCCAGACAAAAAAATTATGGAGTTGCTTCGTGCAAGTGTTGATGGACTACAAGATGAGGAGAAAGAAATATTTCTGCACATTGCTTGTTTCTTTAGAGGGGAAAGAGAGGATTATGTAATGCGAATTCTAGATGCTTGTGGATTACACCCTCACATTGGAATAGAACGTTTGACTCAGATGTCACTCATAATCATTAAAAATAAAAAAATTCACATGCATGAAATTTTGCAAGAATTGGGGAAGTATATGGTTCGGCATCAATTTCCTAAAGAGCCAGGGTCGTGGAGTAGATTGTGGCGTCACCGGGATTTCCATCATGTCTTGATGACAAAAACGGTAACAATTTGTCTTTCCAAATACCACACGATCTCCCTTTTTTTCATTAGAATGTTTTAAGATTTTAATCATTTAATAAAGATATATATTCATAGACAAGATTTTATTTTCAACAAAAAATAAGTTCAGTTGATTCAAGTAATTTCATTTTTTCCATTTTAAAAAAAAAAAGATATTTATTCTTATATCTTTTAGGGAACTGACAAGGTTGAAGCTATAGTTCTAGAGGAAAAAGATGTTACTGAATACTCTCAGATGAGTGCGTTTGCGGAAGGATTGTCGAAGATGACAGGTCTTACATTGCTTATATTAAATGATATGAATTTTTTAGGAGACCTGAATTTTCTTTCTTACCACCTGCAATATCTTATGTGGCACGGTTACCCTTTCACTTCTTTGCCATCCAATTTTGAGCCCCATGGTCTTGTTGAATTGAATATGCGTAATAGCAGCATCCAACGACTGTGGGACGGCCGCAAGGTACTCTAATGTTTTTGCTTTTCATTTTTTTATTGCTTTAAAGAAATGATGGGATTATATATCTCAATTATTTTTCAAAAGAAGTGGCCCAATAATTGGATTTTTTTAATTCTATAATGACATACTAATTTTAAAAATTGTAAATGAATATAATTTACTTAAAAATCTTAATATATTTAAAAGGCTTAAAAAATTAAATAAAAAATGTATGAGTGGTCCTACTTTTATTTTTAATTCAAAATAAATTGTATTCTCATTTCTCAATCATTACTTGAAAGAAGTAGCATATATTATAACGATTAACACACAACATTTTTTTTTTTAATTTTATGGTGCCTTAATAATTTTCAAATGAAAATTCGCTTAAAAAATCATTATGTTTAAAATTTTTGATAGAGCTCTACAAAAATGAGAAATGTCTGTGAGAGGTGATTTTTTAAAAAAAATAATTTTTTCTTACTTTTAAATTATAGTAAATCATAATTTACTTTCTCACTTCCGTTATCCTATTTTATAAATAAAACTTTTCATTCCGATTCTATTTACATGCCAAAGTAAATTAATGAATGAAATTCAAAGTTTTGATACAGCATGCTAATTAGTATTTGCCAATTCTCCTTTCATAGGATCTTCCCTCTTTAAAAAGGATAGATTTAAGCAACTCTAAAAATCTTATCGAAACTCCAATCATTGATGGGATTCCAGAGCTTGAGCGGTTAGATCTCACAGGATGTACAAACCTACACCATGTCGATCCATCAATTGGAATTTTGAGTAAACTTGCTTTCTTGAGTTTGCAAAACTGTAGCAGTCTGGTTGTCCTTGATTTTGGCAGTTCCTCTAATTTAAGTTCTATGAAAGTTCTGGAGCTCTCTGGTTGCACAAAACTTGAAAACATCCCATATTTTACTGGGGCATCGAATCTTGAGTACCTTGATTTTGATCAATGTACTAGTTTATCTACGGTTCATCCATTAATATGGATTTGTACAAAGCTTAGATTCTTGAGTTGTAGAGACTGCACAAGTCTTTTGAGTATAGACTCTGGGGGTTACTTCATGCTATCTCTTATAACTCTAGATTTACATGGCTGCTCTGAACTTAGAAAAATTCCCGGGAAACAGTATTTATTTTTTTCTATGGGCTTTTCAGCTTTGATTCTTCTAGATTTAGGCTTTTGCAATCTAAGTGAAGTACCCGATGGTATTGAAGAGTTGAGATGTTTAGAAAGACTAAATCTAGAGGGAAATAACTTTTTTTCATTACCTTCTATGATCAGCAGCCTTCACAGGCTAGCATATTTAAACTTGGCGCATTGCCATGAGCTTCAATCTTTATCTGATCTTCCGTTTCCATGGGAAAGAGGTTCATCTGTGGGAAGGTATTTTGAAACGGAATCCAAATCTCGTGATTATAGGTCTGGATTATATATATTTGATTGCCCCAAGCTGGCTTTGGCTGCTAGGTTGTGGGACTCTGCATTTGACTGGCTTCGATGCCTAATTGAGGTGCGTATACTCTCAGCTTGATTAATCATATATCAGAATTACGTCATATATTTTTTAATGCCCATATAGAAGATTAGTTAGGGTACGCACTTAGTGTTAGATTATTTTAATGGCTTTATTTTTACAATATTTGAGTTGAAGGCTGGATATAAGTGCATGGTAATGGGCCAAATGAGTACCAATCAGCCCAATAAGGTAAAAGAGAGAGAAAGAGATAATTTGATAATTTACTATTCTCTTTTACTATTTTTACTGCAGTTAGAGAGTCATATGATCAACTCTTTGAAAGTGAGATCAAATCTGAACCATTGGATGGACAAAAATATGGATGGACAGCAATGCAATTTCTTGGAGCTCTTTAGTTTCTAGCTAAATAGGAGTCTGAGTCATTAGGGCCACATATAGAGAACTTTCGTTTTTTTTTAGTTTTCAGTTTTATGTTTTGAATCTTTTGTAATCTTTTTCTTTGAATCTGAGTGTTGAGAAATTCCTTGAAAGCTGAATGCTTGTTCTTCAATTCTTGTACTCGAAGTGCATTGACAACGCACCTTCAAGGAAAGGAATCACGGATCTGCATGCGAGCTATTGTTTTCATACTACTGCAAGTTTTCTTCCTAGCTCTAGTTTAGGAACTTTGACTCTTGAAGAACCGGTTTGTAAACTTTTACCTTGAGTTTTCTTTCATGAATGCTTGTGATGCATGTTTCTTTACTTTTAGATTTGTAATATTTTTGAATATGGGTTTCTGATCTTTTCCTTTCTGGGATTCACTATGATTGGGTGATCTTTAATTTTCTGAATACTGTGATGATTTGCTTTAGTTTCATTTGATTAACAAGATTTTGATTTTAAGTTCAAGAACACCATGGGAATGGGTCTTGAATAATTTTTGCATAACTGTGATTGGGAAATCAGGTTATGTCCCTTGTTAATTGAACCCTTGAGGTTAGGGATAACCCAAGGAGGTCTTTGATACAATTTTTAAAGATTTAGAAGACTTTGGGAAAAGATCCTTCTAAAGATTAAAATATGGAACTGGGAAGTTTTAGATAAAATAGCCATAGTAATTCGAATTCTGATACTAAAGTGCCGTAGCAATTATAAAACGCAAGAATGCGAAATTTTTCCTTCATCCATGATTCAAAGAATTCCAGAACCTTATAATTGATACATTTGTGATTAGATATCTCTCTGTTAAATTTTGTTTAATACAAATCTGATAAATACCTTGTTTGATTTAGTCTTTTCTTAGTTTTAAAAGATTGATCACTTAATTTCAAGAAATTAGAAATAGGAATTAAAAAAGGAAAACTATACAAACCGTTCCCTGAGAACGATAACTCTTTCTTTCGAAAAATTACTACCCAACACTTAGTATACCTTTCCTTCCACTATCTCTCTCTATCTCTAATATACCTAAGTGGTTTTTTGTTTGGTACAAGGAACCCCGACACTTCCGGTGTGGCTTTGACATTGTTATTCCTTGGGATTGGGAAATTATTGATTCTTCATCAGATCAAATTCTTCCTGAGTGGTTCACTTCGTCAGATCAAATTCTTCCTCAGTGGTTCACACATCAATTTAATGAGGCTTCAATAATAAGGATAGAAGATTTTGATGTGGATGACAACTGGAATGGTTTTGTCTTTGGTGTAGCATTTGAGGTAAACAATCATAATGTGATGTCCGGTACAACAGATTTGTCCTCCTTTTCACGACCACATCCTTTTTATCTTTCTTTTGAAAGTGAATTCACAGAAGAATGCTTCGATATGCCACTCAGTTTGGAACTGAACAAGATTGATGGCTCAAAATATCTTTGGATAATCTATATCTCTCGGGAGCACTGCCATTTTGTAAAAACAGGAGCACGTGTCACATTTAAAGCCCGCCCAGGTCTGATGATTAAGAAATGGGGGTTACGCATGCTAGTCAACAAAGAGTTGTATGCAGAAGAACTCCCCTTTGTCATTAATAATGTAGAAGAAAGCAGCTTGTGTCCTGAAATCCAGCTTCCCTACAATTGGTTGGTTACTAACGAAGAGGAAGATGAGAATCGTGTAGCCAAGGAGAAAGAAAATAATCTTTATAATCTGGGCCTTCACTTAGGTCAGCCGTAGTAAAGCACAACATCTTCCCCAAGCCCTGAGGTAATTATCTTATTGAAGCATTAACACATTATTAATCACTACTATTAATTAATGATTAACTACTAAAATTAATAATGTACCAATACTGTTGTTAGAGATATATAATACTATTAATGTAACCTCATCCATTTTTGAGTTGAATTGATTTTTTATCTGGTATCAGATCTCGATGTATCAGATTCGATCCTCACCACTCCTACTTTCTTTCTAGTGAAATTTCTTTGGTTGAATTTGTTCTTTACAAATACTTTATTATCATCAAAGTGCACCCAGTTTGGGTAAACCAAGTTCATACAAGAATTTTTTTTATTTAATATGTTGCTGCATCTTCAGTAATCAATTATTGTTCAATTCTGCCAATGAAGAAGTACATTACATTGCAAATTGAGCGTTCTTTTGTCTAATTACTCTGTAAAGATTAAGAAGGCATACCACAGTTGACTATAACGAAGTTTAATTGCAAAGTAATCTGGTTCTGATATACCTTCTGTGAGAATATAGTAAACAAACATGCTTGTGGATAGCTGGAATATGCTTTGGCTATTAGCCTATTAATGAAGTGATGTTTATTCTTTGTTTTCTGTTAGCGTGTGTTGTTTTCAAAACATTACTTGTTACATGACTTTCATATGAAACAGAGATTTGAAGCATCTTCGTATAATAAACTTTGTACTATATAGTGGAAAATGGTCATTTGATTCTGTCATAATATTTTGGTTCATTCGAATTACATTCCTTTCCTTTCCTTTCATTCCAATAGTTTGAGTAAAACCCATCTGGTGATGTCATAGTGTTTTCCATCTCAAATTTTATAGTACTGGATATTATCTAATTTGGAAACTATTTGTCTTTGGTTTTCAAAACAGAAACTATATTCTGTGTTGTGAATTTAACAAAACGGGGACTTTTTTCTTTTCAGTTCTGAACTTAACAAACAGTAATACACTAATACCTCTTATTCTATAAAACAACAAAAAACTTGTTGTAGAGTAATTTGGGGATCATCCTGGACAATACTAATTTTTTTTCTAAAAGTTAGGAGTACATTTTATTTCCTCTTCATCCAATTTGCCAACATATGCTAGATCATCTAGGAGTGTTTTAGGTCCCAGCCAGTTGCCGTGAAGAGTGACACCATTTCGCTGTTGTAGATTTTATTTGTTGAATCAACAAAATAGAATCCTGGAGGGAAAAGTAGCATCAACAATCAATTTAACATTTTTTCTCTAGTTGATAAAACATTATATAATTAGAGGTGGAAATATGGGTTGAATCTGACGAGTCAATCCGTTAACCTGTCAAAACGGGACAAGTTAGGTTACACATCTCAACCCACCAACCCTCCTCACCTGGTTGCATCTCAAAATGGATTGGCGGCAGGTTTTGGAGGGTTGGCCCGCCGGATTTTTTTGTTTTACTATTAGGTAGTATTTTATTTGTCACTAAACTTTTGTGATATCCAATTTTTTTATCTTACTACATCCCTTGAAAAAATGAAAAAAATAACTTTATTTATTACAATGGTAATCCATATATGGAGGTAAAAATAAGTTTCTAAAGAATGTCTGACTGAATATTAGCATACATTTAGGCTTGAGATTGGAAAAAAATTAAGGGGAGTATGAAATGAAAATAAATATTATTATATTCATAAAATATAATTTATTTTTAAATTTTTTTATTTTTTAGGTAGATTGACCCTCCAACCCACCGTAAAATTGTGTGGTTGGGCTTTTCAACCCATATTCAAGATGCAGAGTGGGGCGGGCTAACTCGTTTTGCCACCATGCTTAATTGGCCCGAAATTGTCACTATTTAAACCACCTCCAAAATTTATGATAAAATAGATATTTTCTTCACAAATTTTATTTCAAACTTATAAAGAACCTTTTTCAGTAACATGGATCCTTCCACCCTACAAAACACACTCATTAATAAGATAATGAAAATCAAAATATATCAATTCACAATAGTTATGTCAAATAGAAAAAAAAAAGTATTACATGTTCATCTAATAGAACCATATTCACATTGTTATCAAAATATTTCAAGTGCTAACCACCCTAACCTTAATCACTCCTCCTTAGTAGGGTTAAGATCCTTTATAAAATTATATTTGGAATACATAATGCAGAAGAAAAATAAATAGAGAACAAAATAATTATATGCACAGAAGCCAACTTTCCAAAAAAATGGGGTAATTTTTGTCTAGGATTTTGGATGGAGAAAAATAAGAAAAATATCTCATTTAAATACGAAAAATGGAAACTAAATATGATGGCTAATTAATCCCTTAATTAGCGCCCCATCACTTCCCAATCATATTGAGTAATTTTTTTTTATCTAATCAATTGATTGATTATCCTAATTTTAGCCAATAATTCTAATTAATTGGTTTCCTTAATTTTCTTCATTCTCATCAAATCTAATTTCACGACTATATTTATATTCAAATTTCAAATTCAAAATTAGAATTCAAATTAATTTTATTTAACATTTAAATTAATTTGAATGCATCATAGATCAAGTCCTACTTGACCCAAGACACATATAATTTATTTATTTTTTTAAACTTGCTTAAGAATGACCCGTGTCAATATTTTTCATCTGAATTATAATATAGTATAGATTTTTAAATTTTCCAAATACAATTATTGACTTATTTGTTATTATCCTTTCTCGATTACAACTAAAGTGCAATTAATATATTTTTCTAGAATGGCGGTGAGCAAATCAGCTTTGCTTTCTATTTGGTTTGACAAATAAAATACAGATTGTAGCCTTTTCTGGATTTGCTGTAAATTTGAGCTTGATTTTTAACCCTCCCTATTTTTGAGTTTATAGAATATATCTGTCAATAATGACTTCGTAAAAATATCGGTAAATTATTTTTTGCTTCTGCAATAGATTAAGGGTAGGATATATTACCAAAAATATTTATCACTTTTACAACCAACTTAATCACCGTTGATTTTCGTCAATTTAATGGCTATAATTTATTAAGAATAATAATTAATTAATAAATGCGACCTAATAATTTCTAATAAATTATATCCGTTAGATTGACGAAAATCAATAGTGATTAAATTAGTTGTAAAGGTTGTAAATTTCTTTAGTGATAAGTATATCCTTCTCCATAGATTAATTCCATAACTTTGCGTATGATATTTTTCCAAAGGCTGATTCATCAACATTTTGGAAAATTAATAACAGAACATTCTTGTCCTTTTTACGCGACTGTTTAAGTGTCTTGCTTTGCAAATATGATAAAGCTGCTTCAGTACTCGCACCTACGAGTTCTATAACAATGTTTACTCATCTACAATACATAATATATTTATGAATTTTCCCAATAAAAGTGGTTGAATGTAAAATGATAGATTTGGAAAGTCAAGAGGCTACCAGTCACAAAAATTCACACCACTAACATATGAATATTTCCAACAACTATATTATGCGAAAATTGTGTATTGGGTTCTTAAAATATATTGAATAAAAAGGTAGGTTAACGAGTAGCTATTTGAAATTTGAAAAAAAAATAAAAAAAAAATAAGAAAAACATATTAACACTAACATCAACATTTTTATTTTACAAATTGTTGCTTGACGAAAGAAAAAACACATTTGGCAATCCTCTAAAACAACGATTAAAATTATGGTACAGTGGAAAATTCTGAAGTACTTGTGTAGGTACTTCCAAACACTTGAAATATCACAAACATTCAGTACTAAAAAAAAAAAGAAAAAAGAAATGTCCCAAACACGTACTTAACCTTGAGATGGACAAGGGATATTCATTATCTTTACGATGGTAAAAACAGAGATGGGAATGGTTTTGGGCAAGTGGTCTCAAAACACTTTATTTTATTTTAACTTTTATTGATAGTTCCTTTTTTTTTCCTTCTCTCATTCTCATTTCTTGATCAACTTCAAGCAGTGGCCTGGGGATTAACACCACCAGTGACAGCATCTTCGGGAATGAATTTGCCCCAGAACCAGTGTGATTTCCACACCCTATTCATTTCTTCAATTGGTACGTTCTTTGTCTCAGGCAAGAGCAAGAAAATGAAGAGTGTCATGATAACAACAAAGCATGCAAAGAAGAAGAAGAGGCCAAACTTCAAGTGGCAAAGCATTGTGAGAAAGACTTGAGCAATGACAAAGGTGAATAACATGTTCACTGCAACATTAGTAGCTTGCCCTGCAGATCTAGCCTCAAGAGAACATATTTCACTTGGCACCAACCAACCCAACGGACCCCATGACCATGCAAATGCAGCTACATATGCACAAATGAAAAACAATAGAAGGTCTGCTTCTCCTTTGCTGAAGGACCCTTTACCACTCACACCATACTTTGAAGCAATCATCACTCCCACCGCAATCTACAACCATACACCATACTTTGATTATAGCTTTTAAATTAATCAAAGCTAGCTCATGCACAAAATCTTAACAGTTAATTCTATTTGTATCATTAAAATCATTATATATAAATGGGATCAATAATTAAGATTTAGTATAACATTGACTAACTTATCATGCATCACTGTACATAAATATATATGATTATTGTGAAATTTTAAACGATTTATATATGTGGTTGTGGTTTTTACCTGACAAATAAGCATTTGAAAACCACCTTCAAGGAACAAAATCCTTCTTCCAAACTTGTCCACAGTAAAGATGGAAACGAATGTGGCAAGCACGTTAACACCACCGGTGATAACCGCAGACATAAGGGAAGCATCATTACCAAAGCCAAGAGTCTTGAAAAGGACAGGTGCGTAAAACATAATGACATTGATGCCAGTGAGTTGCTGGAAAAAGGGAATGAAAGAGCAAAATGTGAGTTGAGGCCTATATTTTCTCTCTGCAATGTTCTTCCATGGGTGTTCAACCCTCTTTGCTGCCTCACTAGCATCAATGAGATCTTGGTACTCCTCATCAATGTTATCAGTGCCACGTATCTTTCTCAACATTGCCTTAGCGTTTTCTTGTTGGCCTCTTTCAATCATTGAATTTGGTGTGTCACCTAAGAAAATAGATCCTACACACAACATGATTGCTGGAACAGCTCCAACACCCAAAGAAATTCTCCATCCATTTTCATGCTTAGCAGTCGCATAGTTGATGAGATTTGCAACTAGAATGCCGATTGTGATCATCATTTGAAATCCCATGTTAAGTGCTCCTCTAATCTTTGCTGGAGCCATTTCAGATAAATACACTGGTACAGACTGTCATTCATTGTGTAAAAGATATTATATAATTTGTAACAATTTCTATATATGTTTTCAAACATTAAATCTTAAAAAAGCATATTGTAACATGAGAAAATCAATAATAATTAATTCTTACTTGATTACAGTATCCGACACCGAAGCCGAGCAACAAACGACCAATGATGAGCATTTCAATGTTGACAGCGAATCCATTCAAAAGTGCACCAACAAGAAAAAACAAGCCACCAATGAACATGGAAGGCTTGCGGCCAATCAATCTTGTGGTTGTGGATGCAAAGAAAGAAGCAACCAAAGCAGCAAGGTATAAGGAAGAGGTGAACAATGTAAGGAGTTGGTTGTCAAATTTGCAATACTGACTCTCGTTCTGTGCTTCATCTTTCATCATTTGTTTATAAACAGATGGAAAGAACTTTATTAAGAATGGTTCCATGGAAGTAACTCCTCCTGTAATGCCAAGATCATAACCAAACAGAAGACCTCCCATGGCCGCAACAAAACATGTCACCAAAACGAATGCCGTCACCTTCCCCTCGTACTGCCTTCCATCTCCAGAAGCAACATAAGCTCCACCCGCCATTTTTCAAACAAATAGTATCTATGTAATATATTGACCCTTTTTTTTTTCTTCTTCTTCTGAAAGGATGTTTAGACCTGAACAATGATTTGCATTATATAGGGCGTTATGGGCCATATATAGGACGCCCATATTCTAAAAGGTGTATAAAAAGGAGAGAAAAATAAAGGAAATAAAAGAAAAAATTATTGATTAATACTAATCTTAATGGGATTTGATTTTCTCATGTTAAATGAGAATTCAATTCTCATGTTGTAGAGATAAAAAGCATGTGGGACCCAGGTGTTAAAAGAAATTATATGTAGAACCCACGTCAGCACGGAAATCGAAGGGTGTGTAGGAAAATTTGAATTCTCATGTTAAATGAGAATTATAAAACCCAATCTTAATACGATAACAATCAATTTACCATTGGGCTAGAAGAAAAGTCACTACTGATCCAAAATTTTACTACGGTAAGTAAATTCTATAAATAAGAAATAAAGCCCATAAATATAACATTTATTTTTCTTTATGATATATATGTTATTACCGTACATTCCTTCTATTTATGCTGTTATTCTGTGTGTACAGTGAGTTGCTTCGTAAGAAAATTCTAAATCCACAATCAACGTAGCGGTTGTTGACTAGAAACGTTTATCTCTATAGCATAGGGTACGCAGTTGTTAGTGATAAAATCTTAAAATCGGAGTTTATCTCTATAGTATTATGCTGTCATTGCATTTAGTGATACCGTAACTTTAGAATATTATTTCCTTGGGTTTGTTGTTAATGTATACTGGCATTTATTTATTAATTAACGGGTGTTGATAGGCAAAAGAATTAATATATTATTATTTTAATAAAAAATTACGAAAATATAATTATTTTGATAGGGAGGATATTCTCACTAACAAAATTTTCTACTACTAACTTATTACTTATCTAATCATCATTGAATCAAAGAGAGATAATGCTAAAAAAAATTTGAAAAATGAGAAAATATTGATCCAATGATGATTAGATAGGTAGTGAGTTGGTAGTAGAAAATTTTAATAGTAAGAATATCTCTCCTCTTATTTTGAACCATTTTATGAATGTATTATAGTGGATCTCATCCAAATAAGGCGAGACCACTCTGATCCAAATAAGGCGAGATTCCCCTTTAGAAAATGTATTATAGTGGATCTCGTCCAAATAAGACCAGACCACTATGATCCAAATAAGACGACCTTCCCCTTTACAACATGCCCAAAAAAAGTTAGACCAGTATTGTCTAATTTGGGCGAGACTCAGCACCATTCACATCGTGACACATGGCAAAAAATTTAATAATTTCATCGTAAAACTTCAGGAGGCTATAACTTTTGACTCAGGTGTCCAAATCAGATTTTTTTTATTCCATATAACTTTTTGAAATCTATGTAATGATATCTCATTGAAGAGGATTTGCTCACAAATTATTTGTGTTTCTAACATCTACTATTTCACAGACGTAGATGTGTCGTTCACATTCAAAATTAATTGTAGAAAATTAAAATATTATATTTATTTCCATATATTAGTTATACCATCAATTCCTTTACGGGAATCGATCAATTAATATCTTTTCTCTCTCTCTCTTATTTTATCACTATTGATCCACCTTTGTATGATTATAATTCCTTACATATTTTTTGATGGGAGAAAATAAATTTGTGTAATTCGCATTCAAAATTAATTGCAGAAAATTAAAATATTATATTTATTTCCATATATTAGTTATATCATCAATTCCCTTATTTATGGGAATCAATTAAGATCCATTTTTTTCTCTTTTCTTTTATCATCATTGGTCCACCTTTATATATTATGATTCCCCACATGATTTTAGGGTGGGAGAAAAAAAAATTTGTATTGTTCGCATTCAAAATTAATTTGCTGGAAATCAAAATGTTATATTCATTTCCATATATTAGTTATATCATCAATTCCCTTATTTATGGGTATCAGTCAATTAAGATCCTTTTTTTCCCTCTCTTCCTTTATCACCCAAGATTAACAACCGAAGTAATTTGTGACCAAATTCCCTTAAATGAGATATTATTGTGTAGATTTCAAAAAGATATGAAAAATAAGGCGAGTTTTTCCTGATCCAAATAAGGCGAGACCACTCTGATCCAAATAAGGCGAGTTTTTCCTTTAGAAGATGCCCAAAAAAGGCGAGAACAGTATTGTCTAATTTGGGCGAGACCCAACACCATTCACATTGTGACACATGGCAAAAAATTTAATAATTCTATCATAAAACTTCGGAAGGCCATAATTTTTGACTCATGTGTCCAAATCAGATTTTTTTATTCGATATAACTTTTTGAAATCTATGCAATGACATCTCATTGAAGGGGATTTGCTCACAATTATTTGTGTTCCTAACATCTACTATTTCACAGACGTAGATGTGTCGTTCGCATTCAAAATTAATTGTAGAAAATTAAAATATTATATTTATTTCCATATATTAGTTATACCATCAATTCCTTTATGGGAATCGATTAATTAATATCTTTTTTTTCTCTTTCTTTTATCACTATTGATCCACTTTGTATGATTATGATTCCTCACATATTTTTTGATGGAAGAAATTTTTTTTTGTAATTCTCATTCAAAATTAATTGCAGAAAATTAAAATATTATATTTATTTCCATATATTAGTTATATCATCAATTCCCTTATTTATGAGAATCAATTAAGATCTATTTTTTCTCTTTTCTTTTATCACCATTGATCACCTTTATATGATTATGATTCCCCACATGATTTTAGGATGGGAGAAAAAAAAATTGTATTGTTCGCATTCAAAATTAATTGTTGAAAATCAAAATGTTGTATTCATTTCCATATATTAGTTATATCATCAATTCTCTTAGTTATGGGAATCAATCAATTAAGATCTTTTTTCCCTCTCTTCCTTTATCACCCAAGATTAACACCCCAAGTAATTTGTGACCAAATTCCCTTAAATGAGATATTATTGTGTAGATTTCAAAAAGATATGAAAAATAAAAAAAAAAAACCTGATTTAGACAACTGAGTCAAAAGTTAAGGCCTTCCGAAATTTTATGGTTAAATTATTAATTTTTTGTGCCACGTGTCATAATATGAATGGTTCTAGGTCTGGCCAAAATTAGGCTAGAGTGGTCTCACCTAAAAAAAAGGGAGTTTGCCTTAAGGAATTCGCTCAAATTGGGTGAGAGTGATCTTGCTTTATTTGGACAGAGACCCACTACAACAGATTCTTAAAATGGTTGATAATAACTATATTTTTATAATCTTTTATTAAAATAATAATATATTTTTTTCCTGATGTTGATAAGTACTTCGTAAGAAGTCAGAAACTATCTGGAGTTTTACTGAACCAATATCAAATAAGTATTTCATTACTAATTTAAACAAAAATTAACAAAAAAAAATTGAAGAATAGGTAGTACTTTTGATAAATTATTACTTTTTTATACTTCTCAAAATTTAATATAAAAAATGAATACAAAAAACAACAATTTTATACTTAATTTACGAATTTTGTAAACATCTTTAATTTATTAAAATCGCATAACTTACCTTTGCATTAGCGATTTTTAATGTGAAGTTATAAATAATCTATAATTGTAAACTAGTTTTATTAAATAATATATTTTAATTATAACATGAGTTCTTTATTTAATAAATAATATTTAACATAAGCTTGAATTAATTTATTTTACTTTTAAGAATATTTATTATCGTTCCTAAAAAAACAATTATATTTTAGTTATGCTAAAAAATTAAATTACCTTGTTTTGGACCTATATAATGGGTCCACTAGCCTTTGCGAATGTGCCTTTTTTAATATCAAATAAACCCCCCTACAAATAAAGGCATAATAAGCCTTATAAAAGTGTTCTCTTGAAACTCTAATCCTTCTATCAGTCAATGTGTGCGCGCGCACATACATTATCGCTCTCGCTCTCTGTCTGGCATTTGTGCACAATAATCTGCCATCACACATGGTTATCTCTTTCACATATACCACAAGTTCACATATCCTATATAGCAAACACAATCTCAAGGATTGAACATTGGCGTCGTTTATGCATGGTAACAATAAACTTCTATTCCTATTCCATCACACAAGCAGTACAATGTACAACCACCAGTCACAGCATCAGCGACAAAATATGTAGCAACAATAGGATGCACAGTAACAACAAGGTGCATAACAACAACAACAGCGCACCAAACCCTAATGTGATGGAGACAAACCCAATTTATTATCAAAATATTCCAAGGGTAACACAATTTAAAAAAATAATGAAAATATTAGGTCAAAATTCACTTAATGCATAATAAATTAATTTATAAAACCTAATGTAAAAAAGTATTAAATATTAGGTTAATATTCTCTCAGTGCATTAAGGAGAAACAAACAGACACAAAGAATGTAGGTGTCAATAGAGCCACAAATGTCTTAGAATTAATTCATATGGGTATTTATGGACCATTCCCTATAACCTCTTGGAATGGTCAATAATATTTTATTATGTTCATTGACAACTTTTCAAGATATTGTTTCCTATACTGGATACATGAGAAGTCACAATTCTAACACTCCGTTTGTAGCCGGTGTATTAACATTCAAATGGTATTTAAAGTGCAGTCTGCAATAATTAATCGCGAAAGCATAATACTATTTAATTTAAATAAACAAGGCTAATCCTAATGGTGGATTAACTTTGTATTAGATAATAATTCTTATGTAATTGCAACATTAAAATAATCTGAAATACCTCGTACTCATAAATAACAATTCAAAAGCATCCATAACACATGGTGCTACAATACAAATACTCAAGTCAACAAATAAACAGATTATTTAATAGTGACATAGACAACCCTTATGCTCACCAAAAATAACAATATAATCAATCAAGTCTAGTCACAATAAAGTCTCATCATGAGAAAATAAATAATCATAATATGCATGACTCATATCAGCAATTAAATC